ATTATATGTACGGCAAGGCAAGTTTTGTAGACATACAGTTATGTTGCTATAATATGTCCTCCCCCCCTCCATTCGTATCACGGGATGGCCTTGGTAGTTGGGGCATTTGGGGAGGGTTGGCTTGTTACTATAGTAACACCTGACCTCCAATCAAGATGCAAGAAAGTGATCTCCACCACTGGATGGCAAGGAAGGAGTTGGCTGACAAGACTCTAGGAGGGGCCAGAGATATAAAAGGGGGGGCACCCATCTTGAAGATGAGCACATGGGTGGCGAGTAGTCATGGGGGTTCCCAGCACTAAAAACTTTTTCCTTATTCAGTCCTTTGTTGTAATTTTTGTTAAGGTTTAAGAAAACTTGGAAATTTTGAAAGTGAGCACTCTTTTCTCACAAATGGGCAATCGTCCCAGACAAAAACCTAAAAATCTCATCTCTGTGGCTGTAGGAGATTTCAGAGGGGAAGCGCACCCTGCCATAAGTTTGGCAACTCCATCAAGTTCTCCTACAACCATTGGTGATTGCAGGTCAGCACTGGAGACAACAAAGGACTGAGTAACAAAAAAGAAGAGGGGGAAGAGGAAGCACATGAAACCTGTGAGTATTTGCGTGCATGTGAGAGTCTGATAGGGTGCTTGGAGCCTGTGTTAGAGCTACTGGATTTGAGGATGCTCAAGAACACCTGGGGGTACCAGGTTGAGAGGTACTGGGTTTGGGGGTGTTTGACTGCGTTGATGTGGGCGGCAGGGTCTCGGAGGCCATGGCAGGAGGCCATGTGGGTGGCAGTTGGTGGGAGTGCGGGAACAGCGGCAGCACCAGGAGCGGCGCCAGGAGTGCGTCGCAACTCGGGCTCAGCAAAGTGGGGCCACAGGAGCCCACATGGTGGTGGGGGAGTCTTTTGGCAATTGTCCTAGCGCAGCAAGGGGCACCAAAGCAGCTGGACTGTGGAGACTTTTCTGCAGTATCTGCTGGCGTAAAAACCACTGGGCCGCAGGAGCCCACATTACGGGGGAGCTTTCGGCAATTGTCCTAGCACGCCAAAAAGCACTGGGGTGCGAGACCCCGACAGCAAAAGAATAGAAGGGCTGACCCAGTCACACAAGAGTTCCTGGACAGCAGGCAGAGTTTTTTTATTTGTTCCACCCTGCCAGGGAGAAAGTAAGGTTTTTTCCTTCTTTCTCTTTTCCTCTCTCTCTCTTTTTCTATTTTCTTTTTCTTTCTAACCAATCAGTTAGGTGTGCTCTGTCAGGAGAGTCTGTGGTTAGCCAGTTGGAGGGCAGGCTCTTTTGGGAGAGCCTGTAGTTAGCCAATCTTGATTGGAGAGGCGGGTTCTGTCAGGAGGGCCTGTGGTTGGAAAGATGAGATCTATGGGGGGAAGGCCTGTGATCAGCCAGTCAGGATGGGACTATGGGCAAGTAGGGAATTCCCAAGGGGAAAAGTAGAAATTGAGGAGGTACCAATAGGCATACCCCCAGATAGTTGTTTGGGAAGGAAACTAGCCTGGTGGAAATATGACACCAATACCAGAGATAAGGACAAGCTCAAAATGATTCACTACTGCATGGTAGAATGGACCAGAAGGGAAATTAGGAGCAATCATGTATACTGGCTGAGATATGAATCACATGAAGGATGCCTATGTCAAGCATTAATCTATGTAAAAGCCAAGAAACCATTCAACTAAAAAGAGAGTAACTATGCTGCCTGCTGGGAAGGAGAGACTTTACCCTCAAAAGTGAGCATTTCTAAAGTATCAAAAAATAAAGAATGGGACTCCATAGAACCCCCTCCACCTCCAGTAGCCCCAACAGCACCTCCCTTGCGTCCTGATGAGCCCAGCCAAAACACTAGGAACAGAGTGACACAATGAGAGGAAAGCAGATCAGGGGGTGGGAGCCAAGCAGTGGAACTATATCCTCTGAGAGAAGTACCACTGGGTGGGATGCAGGGAGGAATTGGATTTGTAAACATACCTCTCAATATCTCTGATGTGAGAATGTTCAAGAGAGAATTGAAAGGATTACTAGAGAATCCCATTGGATTAGCAGAACAGTTAGATCCATTTTTAGGCCCCCATATTTATACATGGAAAGAAATGCAATCAATAATGACCATTTTATTTACACCAGAGGAAAGACACGATCTGGGTGCCTGGGATGCAGATATGGGAAAGGAACACATGCAAGGACCTCCTGGGGATCTAAAAATGCCCATGGTGTGCCCTGATTGAGACCACAACAGCACCGGGGGAAGGCAAAACATGGAGGAGTATAGAACATTAATTATATGGGGTATTAAAGAAGTGGCCCCATAGGGTCAAAATGCTCACAAAGCATTTGATGAACAACAAAAGAGGGAGGAAACCCCAACAGAGTGGCTAGAAAGATTGAGAAAAAATATGAGGCAATATTCAGGTATCAACCCTGAAACAGTAGCTGGAAAGATCTTGCTAAAAACATATATCTAGCCACGCATGGGTGACAAAATATGGAGAAAACTAGAGAAATTAGACAACTGGCAAGAAAGGCAACTGGAGGACCTCTTAAGAGAAGCACAGAAAGTATACATCAGAAGGGATGAAGAGAAAGCAAAGAAAAAGGCCAGAGTAATGTCAACTGCCATTAGAGAAGGGCACATTTGTTTTTATTGTAAGGAAAATGGGCACTTCAAGAGAAGTTTCCCCCAGAGGGAAGAGGACCTGGAGGGTTTTAAGAACAGCAAAGAGGGGAGGTAGTAGATTAGAGATGTCAAGGGCTCTTCCTCCTGGGGACAAAATATGATCAGAAACCCTTAATAAAATAAGTCCCCAAGAAGAAGAATTTACTTTTTTTTTTGAGCACAGGAATTAACAACAAACAACTTGTGTTTATAGAATTGAAAGAGGGGCGTGGGAAGAGTCAAAATATTTACAGGTAGTGGGTGCAAAAGAGGAAGGGTTTAAAAGCATTAATTTATAATATTAACCCTTGAGATAATGTACTGATTAAATCATGGAAAGACCAGCTTCCAACCCCTCAGTGGGGCAGTCCCTTCCAAGTACTGCCAACCATTGAATCTCAAGCAGAGATGGAGAGATAACCAAAGAAGCACCAAGAAGTCTGAAGAAGAAAAAAAGAAAGTCAAGCTCCCACCAGCCAGCTTGAGGACTGTTTTAAGTAATATTTCGAATGAGGAGTTTGAACTGTACCTGTTATTGATGTAGTTGTCATGCTTTAATAGAGAAAGATTGCAAGCATCTGTTGAGGCGAGGTACACAGAGAACCTTAAGAGGTGCTGGTGTGGTTTGCTTAGAAAGACAAGAAATAGAGGGCAAGACTGGGTTGGCCTTTGTGCTCACCGAGAAGATTCCATAGCCCTGCTGCGGACAGCAATACTGTGGGCATGGTAAGGCGGGGACACAAGGCCATACCGGACCTCTATCATTCCTCAGTTGTCTTTTCCTTTCGACACCCAATACAGGTGTAATTAACAACAAGGACTAGAGGGCAAGACTGAATTGGTCTCTCTGTCTACTAAGATACACCTGCTATGGGTAGCAACCCCATAGGCATGGTAGATGGGGGAAAAATATTATACTGGACCTCTGTGATTCCTTTTTGTCTGTCCAACCAATTCATCAATAAGTGGGCCTAAGGAGATCCTAAGATTTTTTTCTGTTCCCTCTGTCCTCACCGACATCAACAGATGCTAGTATGACTCATTCAAAACATTTTTTTTGAGAAAAGTAAATTATCAGAATCGAAAATAAGAGTTCAAGCCAAATAACATATGAAAATTAAAAGGGGGATTTGTTATAGATGAATAATGAGATTGTTGGCTCTCACAATTAAGGGGTGAAGATTATATGTACGGCAAGGCAAGTTTTGTAGACATACAGTTATGTTGCTGTAATATGTTCTCCCCCCCTCCATTCGTATCACGGGATGGCCTTGGTAGTTGGGGCATTTGGGGAGGGTTGGCTTGTTACTATAGTAACACCTGACCTCCAATCAAGATGCAAGAAAGTGATCTCCACCACTGGATGGCAAGGAAGGAGTTGGCTGACAAGACTCTAGGAGGGGCCAGAGATACAAAAGGGGGGGGCACCCATCTTGAAGATGAGCACATGGGTGGCAAGTAGTCATGGGGGTTCCCAGCACTGAAAACTTTTTCCTTATTCAGTCCTTTGTTGTAATTTTTGTTAAGGTTTAAGAAATCTTTGAAATTTTGAAAGTGAGCCGTTCATTTCTCACATCCTGCTTACCTGCACTTCCTTACAACAGCATCAGTTGCATTTCCAAAGCAATGTCTTGAGAATGGTTTATGTTCCTGAAATAAACAGGGCTAGGAGACTTCTCCTTTTTAATGCCTTTATTAAAAGTGATCAGCTCAGGATTAGGCAGCTCGGCAGGGCTGCAGTCCTCATCGTGTCTCCCACGGCGACTCAGAGGAGGAGGACATGCGCAGCTCTGTCCACTAGGGGCAGAGCCGGGGGATCCGGTCCTCGTGGAAGCCTTTAGGGCGTGGTGTCCCCCGTCAGATGTTGCCCCTCCTTGCCCAGTCGGCTTGGTCTCACCGCCGGGGACGACTCCCATGGTCAGGGCGAGAGGGACTCTGCATCTCTGCAGGCTCAGCACCTCTGCAGGCTCAGCACTCGGCTCCTCACGTCCAGACATCACTCCAGTCTCTCAACTCTTATTTGGCTCATTGTTTTTGGGGTTTTCTCTGTGCCTTTGGAGTCGGGGTCCCAAAAAGCACGCTGGTCTTGGAGTCACTTTGCATAACCCCCCCCACCCTCTCAGGTGTCTTCACTATGCTGGGAAAAGAACACCTTAGCCTCGGGGAAGGGCCATTACCTCGCCCTAGCCAGGGCCTTTACTAATACAAAAGGGGCGATAAGCTACAATGACCCGTGATTACAATAACAAAACACACAGAACCTTGGCAGGGACAGAGATCTGGCTGCCTTTTTGTAACTTTTTCTCACAAAAAAATATTAACCGAATTTTTGTTCATAACAGTTCCCATCCCATTTTTGGGATCATTGATCTGGTTTGGTTTGTTTTGTGCCTGGGGTGGTTGCTGTCCCTGCCCCACCCCCATCCTCCTTGGCTCTGGGGCTGTCGCAATGAATGGAAGCTGAGCTGGGGTTTCTGTGGGGAGTTGAGGGCAGGCTGAGAGACAGTCTGCTCTCTTCCGTGGGTGGTTCAATGGGACATGCATGGCCAGTATCTCTAACCAGGGATCCTGCTGTTTCTGTGGGTTTTGCCTGCTTCTCTTTGGTTTTGTTTGGCTTTGGCACTGTGACTGAACTTGCCCGCTGGGCTTCTTTTGCTGCTCTGATGTCAGGAAGCCCAGAGCCAGTGCATGCCCTGCCAGGACCTGGGACCACCTTCGTTTCCCGCTGGACGGCTGCCCCCACCCTTCACACAGCCAGGATCCGAAGAATGAGGCAGCACCGGCGAGAACATCCCAAAGAGCCTTTTACGGCGTTCAGGAGCTGGATTGTTACTGCCCAGCCCCCACCGTACCTCTGCCATAGCTCCACGCTTCTGCTACACTGCAGTTTTTCACCCTTTGCCTTCCAGGAGGTCCTGCCCTTGCAGCTTGCTGCTTCCAAGAGTCCTGCTGGGGCACTGGAATTGGATGAATCTGCGGGGTTTGTAAATCAGGCCCTTTTTCCATCCCTTTCTGTCTCGGTCAAGCCGCCATTATCATGTGATCCCTGAATTCGCACTGGAGCGCCCCCTGCAGCCGCAGGGGAATCATCGCACCCACCCTGCCCACCAGGAGTCACCAGCACGCTGTGTCTGTGGCCATAAAACACCAAAGGGGAAATTGCCTGCCGCCGAGAGAAGGCTGTTACTGGGCTTCTGGTACAGTATTTCCACTAAAATCAGTTGGACAAAGCCTGGTATATCTTGAGAATTTATAATGCCCTTTCCAACACAAGTTTTGAGACTCAAAATAAGATTTGGGTAAGTATGTTAAAACTTATCCAGACTCAATTATTGAAGCATATTCATTGTTAGTTGTCTCATCAGGCCTTCACTTAAAGGATCAATAAGAGCACAGGATACAGATACAGGATCTTAAATACCAGTGGCTTGTTCCTACCATTGAGCAATTTTGATGCAGAGGCTCTGGATATCTGTCCTGGGATGATTCATTAATGTTATTGTATTCCATATCGCTCTGCATGCAGAAATTGTTGATGTATCTTTAAGATCCTGCAGCAACAGAGGCTTACTATCCACAGGGATTTTTAAAATATCTGCTCCCAGTGGAATAGAATTTGTTTCACTGGCTGCTTAATCTTTGTTCAGGTAAAGTCTTTTTTTCTGTGGTTTTTTGTTTTTTTTTTGGGAGGGGGAGTGTTCTTTTTGGGTTTTCTTTTATTGTTTTTCTTTTCAGTTTTTAAGGGGTCTTTTTCCCCTTTTCCTTGACCCTGAAAGCTTTAATGGTGTTTGAGCTGCCTTAAGGGCAAATTCCACAGCTGCCTATCCAAAGGCATGGGTATTGTACTGGCAATAGTGGAGTAAAGCAGCTTCACTCTGGCCCAGTCGCTGTCAGTAGGGCCCAGACGAGAAGAGACAAGAAGTGTCTCCAGCTCAGCTGCTCCGTCTGGCCCTGCCTACCTAGCTGTGCCTTCCTGTAGGAAGGAGGCTGACTCCGGATGAGCCTTCGGGAACTACTGGAACTATGCTATGAGGCTCCAGCATTCCCAAAAAGGATCTGACACCATCTTCTCCCTTTATCCTGCCAACCCAAGGTCATCCCACCAGGCCTTGTATTGGGGGGAGGTATTTCCAGCATTTCAGGTCTCTGTTCCAGTGTGGTTGTGGAATTTAGCAGTTTGGTATCTAGCAGTTATTTACCTTTTTTACCCACTGCCTGTTGGTATTCTGTTTATTAATAAACCGTTATTTTTTCCACTTTAATTTATTAGTATTCACTCCTTGTTGGAAAAAATGGATTGTTGGAATCCTTAAAGGGAAATAACCTCATTCCAGAATATTCTCCTTAAATTGTCTCAAACCAAGACAATATCACAAGACAAATTTCTTGACTGTATTGAAATTATTCCCTTGGGGTTTTGGTATTTCTGTAGCTGAGATGAACTGAAAAAAAAATTAGTTTTTGGATATACTAATCTCTTGCAAGAGAAAGAAAATACATGTAAATATGAACCTAGTCTTGGATGATGATAATGTGCAGGAAAACACTAGTCTAGACTACATACTGTAGTTTTTAACTCCTGATATCTGTTAATTTTTTTCATTTCACTTACCAGAAAACTGAGTAGGTAGATAACAAGAAAGTCTCTTCCAAATGATGCAACCACACAGAAATAAGGCAGGGGGAAATGGTTTCATAAAGCCTGCATTTTTCCTGTAGAGGCTAATTATATTAAGTTTATTCACCGCTAAATAGCAAGTGCTTCTCCAGAGGCAAAGTGAAAGTTCATGCGTAACTTGAGACAGATAGAAAGTTCTACTGGGCTGCCAAGCTTAAGCCAGAATGATGAGCTCACAAGTTCACTAAAAACTCATAAAAGGTTTAGTTTTTAAAATTCAGACTCATATATGACCCAAATATATGGAGACTGAGTTCTGAAGTTACACAACTGACCAGAGATCTTTTCTGAATGTGCAATTTCATCTCAAAATTTATGAGACTTTTCGCATATTTCTTTTCTATTCTGTCTTGGGCTGCTTTAGATATAGAAAAATATCTTGTTCTCTATTTCTTGTGTTCTGCTTTTAGAGTCATTCAAGAAGTGAAAATAAAAAGTATAAAGGAATGTCTATATGTATCAGTTAGTCAAAATGAGTTTTAAAATTTCAGAGTTCTGATCATGTTTGGGGTGAGAGCAAGGATGAGAGTTTGTGTGCAATGCAAGCAATCTACCCAGCACTATCTCAGCACTTACATAATTTGTTTTCTATTTTACTTAACTGTTTTCTTTAAAGCAGTTCTCATACAGACTTTCATGGGGAATGTCTGACACATGTAGATAATTTCAGGTCCATTAGGAATCTTAAATTATGATCAGACAAGTGAAACTACACTGTCTCCAACTCTAGAATTTTCCTGCATATTAATTACTGTTTGTTTCATGTCTAGTGCTGAGTAACTTACCAGAAAGAATCAAAATAGGAAACTGTTGTGCAAATTTATTGGTACCCCTTGAAGAAAATTACACACACATTTGTTCTGAAATACACAATTTTAATGAACATTGCATTGAGCATAGTCCTACTGCAATACACAGTTCTACACGGAATCTCCAAAGATGTGTCACAAGTATATTTCCTATACATATTTGTACCAGCACCAATCCAGAGCGCAGTTGCATGGGACAAGTCAGCCCAGCCCTGGATTTATCCCTTGTCGCTTTTCATAAAAAGACATCTTTTTATGAAAATCCTTTCCTTAAGATTTTCTCCTCCTGAGAAGCTGAGAGGCCTCAAGAACAAATGTAAACAAGGATTATCTGCTGCTGTGGAATGCAACAAGTGCGTCTGTGATTAGTCTCATGTGCTTGTTTGTAATTAATGGCCAATCAGGGCACAGCTGGCTCAGACAGAGAGTCTGAGACAGCTGCCTTTGTTATTCATTCCTTTCTATTCTTAGCTTAGCTAGCCTTCTGAGACAAAACCTTTTCTTCTATTCTTTTAGTATAGTTTTAATGTAATATATATAATAAAATAATAAATCAAGCTTTCTGAAACACAGAGTCAGATCCTCGTCTCTTCCCTCAACCCCTGTGACCACCATCACAATTCCCCACCCCAATTCTGTTGCTGTTTGCTTGGACCCTGAATGTTCAGATTCCAGGATGATCTACAAGACAATTCATGGAGGACAACCTCACTCTCTTGCAAGGCGTCTGTTATGTCTCTGGCATTCCTGCTTTCAGCCACTTTAACTCCTTGCAACCGGGCCTCCTTGTCCTTCCTCTGTGCAAAATCATTCTTCTGTCACAAATTACCACAGCTGAGCAGTCATAAATAGAATTTCTTTGTAAGAAGTAAATGCTAATTGAAGTATTATCCTGAACTGAATACAACGTGCACTTCTAGGCTGAAATCCATCTCTCTTTCTCTCTCTCTCCCCCATTTGTTCCCTATTTCCCCAGTTTCCATCATCCCCCAGTGCCTCTAACCTAACGGGAATTTGCATTGATTAGCAAGTGTTTTACTTCCACCCATTTTCCACAAACAAGAGGTGGAAAAGTAAGTGAGCAAGCCTCACTTTTAGTTGCATGCTTTCCACAAAAGGGGTTAATCTAATGTGCTTCATATGTTTTTTCCACAGGAGGGTGTTCAAGTACTGAGAATAACACAGCTAAAAATTTCACACGTCTCAGTCTGAGTGCAATGAATCAAGTGCTACAGTGTTCAATTCATGCCCAGACAGGTGGTGAGTGGTGGCAGGTTTTTAGGCCACAGAAATGTTTTCCTTGGCAGTTAGCCCCACATTCCTAATTCCACCCAGCATGCTTTCATTTGGGACAGAACAATAATACCTTGCACCAGGAGGCCAGCCAGTTAGCCATGAAAGGCTGGCATTTACTAGAAAAACAAAACAGCTTCATTACATAATCCTACTCCTAGGTCCAGAACAGAGGGGCAGGTGTTAGAAATCTTCTGGCTGTATTTTGTTGCCTAGATTTTTCTGACTAGAGAACTGACTCATTTGGCTCATTTGCGTCAGGTATCTGGTAGAGGATAATCAGTTCTGTTTCCTTCCATCAGCACATGAACTCTGAAACATCAAGTCTGTCAAAGCAAGATGCCAAAGCAACATTCACTGTAGTGAGTCTGCCAAATACTAGCCAGATGCTGGAAAGGACCTAACTAGTATGGTTGCCCACTTTCTGTTGTGAAGGCAGTGTGCACATTCAAAATAGGTTATTAACAATTATCCAGTTATTGCATTCACCAAAATTGAAGTTGTCCTTTGGCTAAGTCCATGTACATTCTTACATGTGCTTAGAGTTGTGCTTTGAAAAAATATATCCTATAGTCCACAGCTGGAATAGACTGTTTAATCACTGTCAGAGTCATCATTAAAGAATCACAGAATGAGCAAGGTAGGAAGGAATCACAGTGGTATTGAAGATGGAGGGAGAAGACCCAACTTTCATTGTTCAGCATCGACTCCACTTTATTCATCAATTAGGCACTTTTTATAACAGTGTTAATTCACTTCATGCATATTGCAAAATCTGAGCTCCTGATAGGCTGTAGAGAAAACTTCAGCTCCTCCTTTTGTTTACAATACCTGAAGTTAGTTTACTGAAACCAAGATCAGTGTTCCCACCATGATATGAAAGGTTCTCAAAACCTTCATATCTATTCCCAGACTGGCCGTCTGTTCCCAGTAGTAGCCAAGGACAGAACGGTCTGAGAATCTTGTTGTGTATATAAAAGATGGCTGAGAACCTAATTATTTACAGGATCAAGCCTGGGAAAGGCTGCTTTACAGCAGGCTTCTATATTTCCCTCAGCTGAATACCTTCATGGCCTCTTTCTTTAAGCCATGCTTAAACCAGGCTCTCCACACAGTGGGTCATCTAGTCCAATTTCCCTGCTCTGGTAGGCTCCCCTCGAACATGATACTCAAGATTGTGTCCGGCTGGTTTTTGAATATCCTCAGGGAAGTGGACTCCACAACCTTTCTGGGCAACCTGTTCCAGTGCTTGGTCACCCTCACAGTAAAGAATTACTCATGTTCAGATAAAACTTCCTGTGCATCAGCTTCTGCCCATTGTCTCTCACCCTTCTCAGCACTGCTGAGAACTGCCTGGCTCCATCCTCTTGACACCCTCCCTTCAAATGTTTCAGATACTTATAGATACTGATAAGGTTCCCTCTCAGTCATCTATCCTCCAGGCTAAACAGGCCCAGTTCCTTCAGCCTTTCCTCATAAGTGGGATGTTCCAGTGCCCTCATATTCTTCATTGACTTCC